TATTTAAATTAATTTAAAAAATTGTCATAAACTCTTAAATGAACTTTAATATGATTATATTACAATTTTTTGAAAACTAATCTATACTCTTATATTTATGAAAATAATTATAGTAAAATAGATAAAAATTTATTTGAAATGTTAGATAAAATAATGTAGTATATCTTCTAAGAGAAGTTTTAAGTTATAATTTATCTTTATCTTTATATATGTTTATAGAATAAATAGAATTGTAAACTATACGGATATATTAATATTTATTTAATATTTAATTTACATTGATGATTACGAAAATAAAAAGCAATAATCGACAATTACATATTATATAATATATTGTATTTATTATACAGAATAATTTATATATCAATATTTGTGATATATTATGTATTATTATGTATTATTATTAATATAGGTATATATATTTCTCTTATGTGTGTATTTAAACCTTACAATCCAATTCACTGTTACCATATACATATGAAATAAGATTTTCAAAATATTTCTATTCTGTGCATATATAAGTATGTATTTACATGTATTTAAATGCAAATATAAAACATTAAAAGATTATTTACATGAAAAATAATTTATTATATAAGAACCAATTTTTTAATAACACATTTAATTGTTTAATACTATATATTTCTTCTTACAGTTGTAGCTTTACTTCCGTATTATTATTTGCATGAATCATTTCTTTTTTGCATGAAACAAATTCAAATTGAAATATCATCATTACATACGTGGTGATGCTACCGATTATCTAAAAGAAAAACTTAAATCTATATATCTTATAAAAGTTATTAATTTTTAAAATAAGTTATTAATTAATAAAAAATGCGACAATTCACTTACCCGAACGAGAAATTTTGCGTCTATAGCGAGACCTTTCACAGAAAATGTATTATTACAATGAAGTATTTGCAAGGAAAATTGTTTTAACTGCAATCGTAAAATAATGAAATATAGAATTAAAAAATGTAATAAATCTAATAGAATATATCGGAAATTATTTTGATATATGATATATGATATATGATATATGATATATGAATCACATTAAGACAACATAAAGATCATAAACTTCTAAAACTAAATACTTCATATACTTCTAAATAAACTTCAATATTTTATTATACTACCTCATCTTTGATTTGTTCATCAGTAGTACTGTTAAGTGCATCATAAATGGAAGTGCTGATTTGTTGAGCTTGATTTTTGCCCGTCTCACAAGCCCACACTATTAATATCATTTTTATAAAAAGATATGCTGTGTATAATAGAAAAAGCATGTCAAATAAAATGTCCACTGGTAATAAATATCTCTTGAACAATATGTAGTAATATAAAATCAAAGAGATTTGAGAAAAGATTATAACTGTTGTAGCAAGAAGTTGCAAACTAAAGATCATGCTCAACATTTGTACTGCCTTGCTGACCGTTAGATGTTGTTTTTTCAGAATCTTGAGCTCCATAATCAAGAATGGATTTTTCTGCTTATAATAGATCGGTCTAGGAAAATGTGATTCATTGTTTGTGACTATGAATTTTTGCATATTTACCAGATTGTCATTGATTCCTTTAAAACACGCTTTTAATATACAAACGCAATTTACATATAACATATCCATCTGATGTACGAATAGATGGCTATAGTTTTGAAATAAGATAGTTGTTTCCAGCTTGGAAGCATGTATCAATATGATCCAAGCTAAAAGAAAACCGATGATGTCCTTAGTGTGAATCAATCTAGATAGCTTCTGATATGATTTTGATGGTATTCTTGAAGAAATCTTTAATATAGTCTGAAGAAAGCGTGTTCGCGGACCGGTTAAAATTACCGAGATGATCATTATAAGATCGCCAAATACTAAGGCGCAGTACATAATAAAATATACAGGAAAATCGTTTATATGATTAGGAAAATTATATAATGTTATCAATATGTAAATATTATAAAAGCAGATAGCGACAATCGACAGAATGTAATATAGTTTTGAAACTTCGAAAGTCGAAGCATTAATCTTATGTGGACATATTCCAAGAATACGACATAAAGTGAAGCAAGGATACATCAGAGATTGAAAATCCTTGGCGTTAAACAATCGCCATTTTTCCTTTTTTCGTTTGTTTTTAGGTTCTTCACGAAAATTTGTTGATAAATTCAACATGTTTAATGATGTCACAAAAAAAGACAAAAAATCCAATTGTAGACAGCAATCTATAAATTATTAATCTATATAATTATCAATATATTTTGGTATTAATATAAATGCAGTAGAGAGAGAACTTCTTTTTTAAATGTAACCTTTTTACTTTTTATATTACACGTGAGTAAAGCAATATGAACTCTTCACAGTTGACGTACACTGTATGAATTTAATTTCTAAACTGCGAATAATTGTAGTCTCCTGTAGTGACATAAGATAATCAAGAAACTTTGTTGATATAACCATGGCATTTTTCGATTAACAATTATCATTTTTGAAAATGAATATAATTGCTATGACATGCAACAATATTTGTCAAATCGTTTATATGCACATGAAACGGCAGTATCCTGCGCAGTAATCCCAGTGGGTTGATAGCTTTCAGAAATGCATTTATAACTTCTTCCTTTCTAATGATTGTTTTGAAAGCTTATATTTACATTTTGCATAAAATATTTGACATCTTTATATTACATATAACTTCATCTGTTTTTCTTGGTTGTTTGTATATATATAAATACATACATTTTTTATATAC